TTGCACCTATGTAGTGTAGACTCTTAGTCTGAATGATATAGATAAATTACCTTGATTGCCTGTTCTTGGCTGGCTGAACAGACTGAGGTTTAGGCTGTTGCTGTTGTTGTTGTTTTTTTTTATGTATATATATATATATTTCTTCTTTTTTCTCCTGACCTTGATTGCTTAACAATTAGACTGTGAGATGTGAAGAGCTTTAGGCTATTCGCCTGATATGTGATTATTTCATCGTACTTCGTACTTATCAAATAACATAAGGATCGTATTTAGTGTTACTTATTCTGTCTAACTTTCTGTAAAGGTAAGGAAAACTGAAAAATGCCTAGTTCAATAAAACAAAAAAACTGTAAGAAATCAAGCTTTGCAGCTAACCAAATTTTAAACGGGCCAACGTAAGATAACATACTGCATTCTGCATGCGAAATTAGTATCACAAGGTTAGGCCACGTGTAATTGATCACATGAACCGATTCAAATCAAAAATTAGCAATTTCCATATCGATCGAGAGACTGATTATGTACATGAAAAACTTTATGGTTCCAGATGGTTTCACGGTTTATCTACGTCGACCAGGTCCTACTCGAATTCTCGAAGTCCTGAATTCTCCTCCTAATGATTCCCTCGAGGTCGGATTATTTTACTGAATAAGGCACAGCTACGTACAGCTTTCAATAAACTTTTTTTTACAAGAGTTTGTTTGCCGTGAATGTTTTAAATTGCTTGACATCTCATTGATCATAGACTGATATTATCCAGCAGGATGACGATCACTTGATTGAATTTAGTGTTTTCGTTGAATTTCATCGCATTTTATCACTCAATTTACAATATTTTTTGCATCAAATATAATTCCCAGCTTTCAGAATTGCTTTCAGAGTGTGTGTTTGTAGAATTTTTTTCTTCTTGTCATTAGACTAAATATAAGCCTGATTCATCGCATAAGGGAAAAAAGCACTTAGAAACTTAAAGGAGCCGTCTCACCCAGGATGCATTGCGCTATTCCCTTTGCAAATTGTGACCGACTGCGCCATTTTCGACGACATCGAAACCAAGAGTATTTTAAATTACTACCAAATCCACTTCAAATCTTAAACATCGTGTTATTCACACCCAAAATTTGATCTCGTTGGTGTTGTTCATTTATCGTGTGTTGGTTCCCTGAAGTTATTTTGTATATCTCTTGGTTTTGTCATGTAAATTTTTATTGTGTTCTTGAGTGATCATAAACTTGTCAATGTCTTCGAGTATACCGGTTCGCGGTCGTCCACGGCGGAAAGAAGGCACGAAGCATATAACTTTTAAAAATTCTACCTACAAAACGTGGAAGGAACGGAAAGAGAAAACGGGGCTATCGGCTCTAAATAATAGCGACYTCGCCGAAGTTTTGCTTCATCGTGTGAACGTCGAGGAAACGGATCAGGAGGAAGCTGGTGGCGTCGCTAGTGGCAGAAAACGCAAAAGAACTTGTTAGCGTTATTCGAGACGATGAAAAATATTTTGTAAAACTAGAAATTTATTTCAATAAGCGTATCTTATTTATTTTTCCCTACAAAGAACCGCTGAGGACGCGTAAACAATTGTGGTCCACTCCGGTATCCACGAGACGAACTTTATCTCCAAATCTCTTAGCCTTATCTCCGATCGAAGTAGCGACACCCGAAATCAAGTGATCAAAGAAGTAATTTATGTTCATATCATTTAGTAAAATCGTCTTTTGAATCGGTGTCGAGTTCTTCCGACTCGGAAATATACGCTATTGGCGACCCATATGCATTGACGGACATAGCTAGGTATTTTTAAACTTTTATCCAAGTTTAARGTGAAGAATTTATGAGTTTCCCTGTCTAGTAGTTTTAGTAGCAACAACRCAGCTCGTGGACACGTGTGTGTTTGACAGCTCTCTTTTTCGATTCCCGTATGTAAATAATAATAGAGGCGCGCAATGCATCCTGGATGAGACGGCTCCTTTATTAAAGGATGGAACGAACAAAGAACAGAGTCTCCTCAAGAATATCTAAAAGGAATTTACACAAGAAACCTCTTAGTTTTAGCCAATTTATTTTAAGTTTAGTTTTTTTCCTTTTTTTTTTTTTTTTTAATATATATTTCTTCTTTTTTCTCCTGACCTTGATTGCTTAGCAATTAGATTGTGAGATGTGAAGAGCTTTAGGCTATTCGCCTGATATGTGATTATTTCATCGTACCTCGTACTTATTAAATAACATAAGGATCTTATTTAGTGGTACCGTTTCTGTCTTAACTGTCTGTAAAGGTCTTTAAGGAAAGCTGAAAAATGCCTAGTTCAATAAAACAAAAAAACTGTAAGAAATCATGCTTTGCAGCTAACCAAATTTTAAAGGCTAACGTAAAATAACATACGATTACAGAAGTGCATTTCGCATGCAAAATTAGTATCACCAGGTTAGGCCACGTGTAATTGATCACATGAACCA